TATTTACGACTTACCACACTGCCCTTGGTCCTTAACTCCAGTAACGGCACCCTTCTTTCTCCAATCCATGGTAGCGGGAGCAGTCACATTTTCATACCTGAATGATATGGTTTTTGATGACTTCTGATGAGAAGACATTTTGTATCCGTTGTGAGTCGCTCTAAATTCCTCATTTGTCAAATCTGCAAATTCGTTGATGCCCAACTTATAAGGCCTAATTCCTGCCTTGTTGACTGACTCAATATAATCAACATTGTCGTTGAATATTTTGAACCTCTTTGACTTCTCTGCATCATCTCTGTACACACGTCCAAAGCGAGTCATCCAGTACTCGTGTTTCTGGACCATTGATGCTTCGTTCAAGTCACGAGATGCGGTTTGAGAAGCCCAGATTCCTAACACTAGTAGAGCTACAAAAGCAAGCTTCCAATTGGATATCAAAGCCATCTTTCACTAGCTGAATTTTTCTGTTGAATCTAATATGTCTCTGTTTGAATGTTGTGGATGAAATACTTAGAGTGACTACGCTATTTATAGTACTAACATTATGGTTATATATAGGTAACTCAAATTTTTATCATTTTTAATTGAATGAATTCCCTGGATAGCCCGGCAGGTTATTTATGATAGACTGATTATGATAACAAAGATGGATCTGGCACGCTGTCTCGAGAGCATCTTCACCAGCCTTGATGGCTTCGTACTTTACACGCCACCAGAGTTTAGCATCACCCTGAAGATACATGGCAGCAGTTGCTACCTTCTTAGCTTCCTCCAGATCCCTAACAGCATCGAAATACTGTTCGACGTCAAAGATGAAGTTTTCCACTTCCTTGGCATTCCTAGCTCCACTGTATGGCTTTGGCTCAGGAATTTTCAGCTTCTTTGTCGCTGAAGCGGAGTTCACAGTACCTCCGATTTGGTTTCCACCTCCTCGGAGTAGGCCCTGTAAAGCAGCGTTGACAACATTGAGTTGGTCTATCAGTTTGTCAATGGTTTGTTGCGTGGCAGTCACCTTTTCTGCCTCTTGTGCCCTGTGGGCTAAATCCTCGGTGCGCTCCTGTTGGAGCCCCTCGAATTTCTCAAAGATTTCGGCTGCCTCTATGGCTGCCGTCTGACGGTCTCCCTCGGAGTCACGACTGATGTTTTCAACGTCAACTTCGACCTGAAGCACCCTGCGGTCCAGGTCGTCCAGCCTTTGCAGTAGGCTGGTTCTTAGTTCAGGCACCGTATCCACAATAGGCCGCAATACCTCAACCGTCCCTTCGAGGGCCGCAATGCGGTCCCCATGATTCACTATGGTCAGAAATGGTGGTATGTCAATACGTTCCCTCGTCCGATGTCGAGCCTAGGCTCTGATACCAACTGTTACGCGGCGCTTTCCTGAGATTCCTTGGAAGGGCGACGTAAGGCTAGGCAACTGATGTCAGTGCAGTTGTTGTCCGCCAACTGAGGTCCCCTCCGTACGCTAGACGAGATTGTTAGTGCCGTACGGAAAAACCAATGTCAAGAGCAATTGAGAGAACAGAAATGAGAATTTAGAATGAAAGAAAGCTTGATTGCATTAACGAAAGCTATTATAGAAAAGCAACGCGGTGTCGAGGGGGAGAGACACCAGTACAGAGAATTGCTTGCTTGCTAGAAAGTTTTGATTGCCTGATCCCCCCTAATAGTACTTAAAAAAAAATCCAAAGTTACAAGACTAGACTTGATTAAGCTAGAGAAACATAATGAAAGTACATGAAATAAAACTACTCTATATTTACAATGAAAATGACTTAGTTTTCTATAAGGCAGCAGCGGGTCCGTTGTCAGCAGCAGTGTCTTTGGCATCACGGTCTGCGCGCGCGGCGTTGTCTGCGCGCGCGGCGCTGTTGGCTTCTGCCTGCGGCTTGGCGCTCGCGAGGGATATCGGTGGGGCGACAGAGGCACCTGCGCGCTTGTCACTTGGCGCGGCCAAGACCACGGGGCCGTCCGTGGCGCTAGGCATTAGGAGGTTTGCTAGGACGCCACAGGGCGCGCCCAAGGGGTCATGGGGCATGGCTGGAAAGACGCCCATGACATAACACATGACATCCATTGTCTATAACAATTTTAACTAAAAAAGCCAAACACATAACTTTATCAGCAACATAATTCAACAACATTCATTAAGGACTGCCAAAAACTGTAAAGTGCAGTTACATGGACAAAAGGGATGTCACATTATAACCCCAAAATATGTCACCACCTAGGTAATAATATGACATTCACCGTAACAGTTAAAGAACCTAAAATTAAGTTAACAATACTGTCACATGCAGTAATTAGATTACATAAGATACCAAAACTATCACGACATTCACATGTTCAGATTTGTGAATTGCCATTTCTTTTTCTTGCCATCAACTTGGTCATTCTTCGTCTCTCCAGTTGGTTTCCTGTTATAGCAGCTTTCTCTTTCCATGTGAGGTTCTTTGGTGAGTATGGAAGTTATGTTGGCTCACTCACACCATTGGCATCACCAAAAAAGTTGACAGTCTTTGTTCCAGTTGGTGCCCAACTTGCTCCCTCATTTGGAGTCTAGTTGTTGCTTCTGACACACTCTTTGGAATTAGAAAGCATCTTTATAATAGGCTTGTGCCTAGCATCTAATATCCAAGAATTAAAGGATTCTATTAAGTTATTGTCAACTTGTTTGTTCTTGCATACTGTGTCAAAGTATGCTCCACACCATGACTTGGGAGGATACCTCAACAAGTCTTCAATAGCTTCTTTATTCAACTCCCCCAAGTTCTTCAATTGGTTCTTAAAATCTTCATTATAACTGCTCTATGAACACCACCAAAGGTACTTCTTCAACTCCCCAGCACCCTATCTTTTGCACGAGTTAGCCTCTATGTGCCTCACACAGAGTATCTGTGGTGTGCATCAGGAAGGACATCTTCCATTGCCTCAACCAAGCCCTACATATTAGTTGATAAAAAATAACATTTAAGATAAATTTAGAACTGAAAGTAATAATTAACAACAAAATTTAATATTTTGAAAAAAAAAATATAGTACCTTCTGCATGTCTGACATAAATGTGAATCCTTTTTCCAAGTTGAGGTCTAATGAATGCCTCAGCAAGGTCAAGAACCAGTTCCAGGTAACTTTTTTTTTCACAATAGCCCAAGCTATAGGATAAAAATACTTCATTGAGTCAAGAGTAACAACAACTAAGTGTTGGCCTTTTACTTTTCCTTTCAAGAATGTTCCATCCAAGCCAATAAAGGGTCTTAGCCCCACTCTTAAACCCCATCTTTAGAGCATGAAATAGATATACATCCAAGAAAATCTCCTCTTACCTTCAGCAAGTGCATCCTTGGATGTGTTAATTATGACATCACTTCCTGGATTACTTATTCTCAATTCATTAGCATATGCCTCTATTTTATTATACTCATCAACAAAACTATCATCAAGGCTTTTCAGGATCATTCTCTTGGATCTCTTCAATTTTGAATGACTAACATTGATGTTGAATGTAGTTTTTAGAGCTACTTTCATCTCCCTAACCTTCATTTGGGAATGTCTTGTATTTTGGTCTTCAAAAATTGTGCTATGGTATTATAATCGACCATTGGGTTATCAAATGCAGGGTTACACTTATGCTTTGCCTTCAGTTCTAATACTAACTCCAGCATTATTTTTATTCTTAGAAATGTGGCAAACAAAGGGGAAGCCTACCGCACACCTATACCTTAGTCTCTTAGTACAACTTTTAAGTTGTGTTGAACCATAGCAATTGGCTAAGCAATAAAGAATTGTCACTTTTTTAGCCTCAAGTATATCCTTGAATGACATTCCCTTATATAGTTCCTTGTAGTTAGTCAACCTATCACAAATTTCTTTTATTTTGTAGCGCAAGTGTCTCTAAATCTTCAGAATCATAATCTGACTGGCAACTATCATCTTCATTTTTATTTGAACTACAATCAGTAGCAGCCTGATTATCTACTGTGGATGATTCAGTGTGGTCAACAATATTAGGAACATTAACACCCATTTCACTATCCTCAACAGCAAATAGATTAATGATGTTGAATTGGTCAGAAATAAAAGACTGTAAAGTCTTAATACCAACATCCCCATCTACTTCATAATATTTACCAGAAAGAAAATATATTATTAGTTGTTGAACACCAACATATCTTAGCTTGGAAGTATACTCATCTACTATATCTATGAAAGACAGAAGGTCAGAATCATACTGTTTCCAGCTGTGTACCAATTTTCTTGAATATACCACTTCTGGCACCCTAATCCAATCACCTCCATAATGGAATAAAAGGTCCACATCAACCATCTCTGTAATCTGCAAAACAAATATTAAAAAGGATAAGAAACAAAAAAAAAATAAAGTACAGAAACATAACTAAATAGAATAATGGTTGACAATAAGGGGTCGGGACCACGTAATGAAATAACAAATTAAATAAAAAAGGAAATCACACAACACTCTTTCCAGCTAGAAACCAGTAGAAATGATAAGGGCATGCACATGATTCATATAAAGTAGAATAGGAACGAATAAAAGATTTGTGAAGTCCCACACATTGAAGGAGATAGTTGTCTGAGCCTCAATAAACAAAGTATATGGGGGACCATATTATAAAATTAAGAAATCAGTAATGTCTCACCTTCTTAAAGACACATGCATGCCAAATTGGGGACCATATACCCTCATTTCTGCTACAAAAAACAATAATAACTACTGAACCCCCTTTCCCCAAGAGATATACAATAAAAAACCATTGAAAGTCATATACTAAGGAACTTCAGCTTTAGAACTCGTGAAACTCTAACCCACAAACCAGAAAAAATAATACCACAAATAAACCTAACCCACAAATCAGAAACAACGATACCCTAACTAAACCCTAACCCACAAACCAGAAACAACAAAAACTCAAAAACATATGAGAAATGGAATGTAAAACAAACATGCAAACAAAAATAATAACAATTACACTAAGATAAATAACTGGTAGCACCACAATCAACACAAACAATACATTTTAAAAGCCATCTAGAACCGATAATCGTCAAGGTACAAACAGATACCCTGACAGTGGTAACACAAACCCTCGAACATAAATCAAGATAAATACAAGAAATGAAGAAAAAATAGAAGAAGAAAATGAAATCAAAGTTTAATAGCAGTAGAAAAGTTGTACCTTTGAAGAATTTTACAGCCAAGTCGGTAGTAGAACTTCACGTCCAAAATCGCCTATCCATCATTTAGCTCTCAGAATAATCGAGAATCATGACCCTCTTTCTATGATAACTGGGTTGAGGGTTTGTATATTAATGAAGAAAATGGGTCTAGGTAATGGGTCACGGGTTATTTAGCAATGGATTGGGTTAATAATTTCCACCGCGTCATTTTTAAATAAAACCTAAGGAATTTTTACATTCCTATACACTATATGAAACTATAGTACTCTCCCTACTCAAGTTTTACTATAATTACATTTTATATACCCAATTACCATCTATGTATATTTTAAGAGAATTAATGATAATAATTAGTGTCCTAAAATTACTCTAACATATCTTCCACTCCCCCACGTTTCTCTCTCCACATTCCACCCCCCTTCCCTACGTATCTTGCACAAGAGAGCAGCAATTCCACCATTGACAACCATTAAAAAGCTTTAAAGCTTTGAATTCAAATTTGGGATTTCAAAAAACATTGTTTGTTTGAATTGGATGTTGTTGCAAAGAATTGAGAATTCTCTCTACGTCTCTCTCTATCTCTCAATCCCAAATTTCAGTAATGTAAAGCAAAGGAAAAGAGAGCAGCAATTCCACCATTGACAGCCATTAAAAAGCTTTGAAGCTTTGAATTCGAATTCGAATTTTCAAAAATAATTATTTGTTTGGATTGGGTGTTGTTGCAAATAACTGGAAATATGGTTTGGAGTTTATATCTCAATTTTGAGGGGTTTTGGTGAAGATTAAACTTGGTTTTGGCTGAATTTCAGATTGAAACTCGAAGAAGAAGAAGAAGAAGAAGAAGAAGAAGAAGAAGAAGAAGAAGAAGACGACGACATGACATACATTATACTGCAGAATTGTAGTAAAATTGTAGAAAAATTATATTATGTTGTTTATATATTTTTTTTTTATTCATTTAACTATTGTATGAAAGTTGAACAACATTGTATAAAAATTATATTTAAGTTGTATGATAGTGTAGTTGTATATAACTGAGTAGAAATAATATATGNATTATATGTAGTTGTATACAACTGGGTAGAAATAATGTATGAAAGTTGTAGATAAGTTGTATAATATATAATTAGTTGTATGAAATTTATTTTTACTATGTATAAATCAGATACAAAATATACAAAAGACATATTGTATAAAATTTATATTTAAGTTGTATGTTATTGTAGTTGAATTTAACTGGGTAGAAATAATGTGTGAAAGTTGTAGATAAGTTGTAGATAAATTGTATAATATATAATTAGTTGTATGAAATTTATTTTTACTATGTATAAATTAGATACAAAATATACAAAAGACATATTGTATAAAAATTGTATTTAAGTGATATTATATGTAGTTGTATACAACTGGGTAGAAATAATGTATGAAAGTTGTAGATAAGTTGTATAATATATAATTAGTTGTATGAAATTTGTTTTTATGTATAAATCAGATACAAAATATACAAAAGATATATTTTATAAAATTGTATAAAAATTGTATTTGTGTAATAAGGAATAGTGTCAAGAACAGAGAAGTAGTTGAATCTGAAGCCATTTTCATCTATTTTCTTATAAAATTGAAACTTCTTTTGTAAACATTTAAAAGGGTGTATTGGTACTGATTTTTGACTTGTTTATTTATAGAGAAAATATGAAGATGTGAATAGACTAATTTTAAGTATGAAATTGAGGCGCTGCATATTTGGTAATTGGTATTATAATATAATTCGATATTTTATCCCTATTAGTGTTGCCGATGTTGCCATTGAGAAGAAAACTGAACAGCTCAATATAGGATCTAGATAAAACAAATATATACCAAATGCAAATTATTTTGGTAAATATTTCTTTAAGTAGAAAAGCAATTATATTGACCATTTACATAGAATGAATACTTCCAGTAGGGGAACGAACAGCTCAACACCACATGATAACTGATAGTAGTATTATGCAGGACAATGCGTAAGCAAATGAGAAAACAGAATATTTTCGAAAAACAGAGATCGAAAATAGTGAGAGAAACGGGCTTATCTAATAGCGAGATTTGCGTTGAAGAAAATCTGGAAGAATCCTTAATATCCCAAATTCGCGAGCCTATAAAAGGAATTATACATCTAAAAGGATTCTGTTTTAAATGAGTTGTTCAAATTTTGTAGAATAAATATGTTCAGGTCGGGTAATATGCTAATCATGGATATTTTTTGTAATATAGTTTCATATATGGTATAGGAATGAAAAAATCCCAAAGCCTAATTGACACTATGGACAGCCGTCCAAAAAAGGGATAATTTAATCAATCGGGTTTGGTGACGGTAAGCCTTTAATTGGGCCAAGAGTATGATGGGAGACACTTTTAAACTATTAACTAAAATAGAGTGACATATCAGCAACTTTATCAATTGATAGGGTACAAAATGTTAAGAAGATTTTTCTGATATATTTACCTTTCTTGGTATATTGCATTAGATAAACAAGGTTACCGCACCCGAGGACTTACGTACATACATACATTAATATAAGCGACGCAAATCTTTTTCTTACAAGGGAATTTTTTTATTTTTTTGGACTCTTTAACGGCATCTTTATCACTACTAAAATGGAAAGAAAAATTAGCCTTTTAATAGCTACAAGAACAATTCACGATATCTTTGGAAACTTTCATTACATCATTTTTTTATAGGGTACAAAATGTTAAGAAGATCTTTTACACATGGGTTCCAAAATCTACCCTTTTTTTTTCAAGTTACATATGCATGCTCATGCGAAATAATTATTATTAGTTTAAAAGTAACTTGATCATGTAAAAGTCATGGTTCGAGCTTGAGGAATGTAAGTTTTTCTTTGGTAGAAAGCGTTTTATCTTCTTGGTGGGCTTACTCAGTGTAAATTTGGATTAGTCGGCGTAGTGAGTTTTGGATACTAAATGGTTAAACAAAAAATCCTGCGTAATTGAAAAGTAAGTATTTATTGTATTGCGAAAAATTGTATTTTACATATAAGGTGACGTGTCAGGACACGTGGATTGGTCAAATGATCAATAAATCATAATTAGGTACGATTCAAGAGTTGTAAAACAGACACGAGCAAAGAAGGAGGAAGAGGAACGGGACATCAGATAAGTAGCACGGCGCCCGTACCTATTTAAATCATTTATATCCGGGCATAAGAAGGAATGAATCTGGTTATAAAAAGCGTGCAGATACAGCATTTAATGGGTATTAAATGCTGAGTCCGTTAAGGAACATATATATTCAATATAATGATTGTGTAACGTAGCATTCAATGTCTTTAATTATTCATAATAGCCTCATTATGATTTGAGCATAACGTACAATCTCAAAGGTATTTATAAAAAGGTGATATATGATCAGTTGTAGGGGAGACAAAAAAACTATTGAAATATACATTGGTATCACTTGTTTTTCTTGATTATTATATTGCTACTCATAATTATTTACTTTTCTTTATTTCTTTGATTATCAGTAACCGAGTTCTTCTAAATTCTAGCTTTGACTAAAATTCCATTTTTTGGTTAAACAAATTGGTTCCGTTACCGGGAATCTGATAATCTATTTCCTCTTTGCTTAACTTTCCTTGTTACATCAACTATGGCAAACAACAATGATAACACTCAAGGAAACCAAGAAAATCAAACAAATCAGCAACTTCAGGGAGATCTGCAGGTTAATAACGCATTAGTTCATTCTCCACAAGGTTCTCCACGACGGTCTCGTGAAGGCACTCCTGGGGGGTCTCATACAGATGGAGAAGCTCAATTCGAAAATGTTGAAACTATGGACGAGGCTTTACAAAAACTTATTGCCTCTCAAGTCAATAAAGCTCTTCAGGCTTTTGTTAGCCAATTACCTGATGCACCACCTACACCCACACCAAATAACAACACTCTAGAGAACCCTCGTTCCGGACTCGTTAATTCAGGTAGTGGTGGAACCCCCAGCGAATCACAGGAGGGAGAACCAGGTAATTCTAATTTACAGAATTTAGTACTAACATTGCAGAAACAGCTCAAGGAGCAAAGTGACCTGCATAGAGCAGATACCTGGGGTGGCGCCCGTGGTCAATGGGGTAGATATGGATAAGTATTCTCAACAGCCTTGGAAGCCAAGTGCTGCTCCTCTCCCAATTCCAAAGAAGTTCAAAATGCCTGATATTCCAAAATACGATGGAAAACAGACCCACGAGGCCACGTTACTGCATTTACAACAGGTGTAAAGGGCAACGACCTGACTAAGCAGAAGATTGAATCAGTCTTAGTCAAAAAATTCGGTGAAACGCTCACTAAAGGAGCGTTAACATGGTATTCTCTTTTACCCGAAAATTCTATAAATTCTTTTGCTGAGCTTGCAGATTCTTTTATCAAAGCACACTCGGGAGCTCAAAAAGTTGAAAAAAGAATGGAAGATATCTTCAAGATCAAGCAAGGAGACTCAGAACTGCTTAGAGAATTCGTGGACAGATTTTAACGTGAAAGAATGACATTGCCACGTGTACCTGACAACTGGGCAGTCATAGCCTTCACAAGCAACTTGAATGAGAACAGTTCAGAAGCTACGAGGCGACTCAAGGAAAGCCTCTGAGAATTTCCAGCAACGACGTGGAATGACGTCTATAACAGATACAGTACAAAGATGAGGATTGAAGAAGATATTATTTTACGACATAAAAAAGAAGAAAAAGTAAGTTCAAGACGTGCAGAAAATGAAAAAAGATCCGGTAAAAACAGGTACGATCCATACATGGGACCTGCGGGGAGAGACTCACGATCAAAGTAGGATAATCAAAGGTGCGATCACAGATCAAGGAATAAGGAATCAGGCTCGTCTTCCAGATTTGGGAACGATCGAAACACACGCGAGCCACGAGATGATGATAGGGGTCTGAAGGCAAGGTTTGGTGGTTATAATTTCAATGTAAGCACTTCCGAACTCGTAGTTGTTTTAAGGAGTATGGGAGATAAGGTACGGTGGCCAAAGGAAATGCGATCGAATCCAAACAGACGAAACCCTGATCATTGGTGCGAATTTCATAACGATCACGGGA